TTGCATGCAACAGCTTTTAATGGGGCCTCTCACTTGTCACTAGGGTACATAAGTTGTATACAATAATTTCTAATGGGGCTTCTCACTTATCATTAGGATAGATTTTTTTTTTTTTGGTTAAATCTTTAATTTAGTTTTCAAATTATTATATGGGTCATTGATTTGATTCTTAAATTATTAAAATTTTTAATTTGATTCTTAAATTATTGTACGAACTTCTGATTTGATCCTTACTAAGATAAATTATTTTTTCTATTAACCTTCAAATATATACTATATTTTATTTTAGGTCTCATAAATAATCATACAATAAGATAAACTGTAATTATTTCTGTCAATAGAAAAAGATTTATTTATTGGCATCTTTCACATTCTATTCTATCAACTCTGTCCTTTTTTTCTTTTTTTTTTGAACTTGGGCAACTCTGTCCTTTTTCTGTTTCATCCTCATCCAATAGTACACAACTTGCATGCAACAACTTTTAATAGCGCCTCTCACCTGTTGCTAGGGTACACAAGTTGCATACAATAATTTCTAATGGGGCCTCTCACCTATCACTAGGATAGATTTTTTTTTTTACTAACCTCCAAATATATATTGTATTTTGTTTTAGGCTTCATAAATAGTCATACAATGAAATAAACTACAATTATTTCTGCTAATAGAAAAGGATTCATTTTTTGCTATCTTTCACATTCTATCAAGTCTGTTATCTTTTTATTTGGGCTTTGGGTCAGTGGTGTCAGTCACATTTAAGTGCATCTCCCACTCCTAAGCAATGATTCGAATCCAATACTTTGTAAAATTGTTAAAAAAAAAAAAAAAAAGAAGTCTGCTATTTTTCTGTTTCGTCCTCATCCAATGGCAGCTTGTTCTAAAGCGGCCTCTCACCTGTCACCAGGGTGCACAACTTGCTTGCAATAATTTCTAATGGGGCCTCTCACTTGTCACCGGGGTAGATTTGTCTTTGCCAATCGCCTAGTACCTGGAAGTAGGGGTGACAAATATTCTGATTGGTTGGGCTTGGAGTAAGTTTATTCAGATTATAGGTGTTACGAGATGGGTTACATACAGATCGTGGTTAAGTAAATATTGACCCTAATTCAATCCTAACTTAACTTTGACTCAACTTTAATAGGTGTTGACTCATATATTAAACTTCTTTTGTTTTTTTATATAATTAATTATATTTTTATATAAAGTTATCAAAATTAAATAATGGTAATTTTGAACTAAATATTTTAAAATAAGTATATTTTTAAATTTCAATTATTATATTTGTTTTTATTTTTTAAAAAATTATTATTGTTTAGAGTACAAGTGACCCTTCAATACTTATAAAATTTATAATTAATATAACATAATTCAATATAAATTATTTCTTAAATAAACAAGAGTTGTCATTATAAATTGAGAATTGGCATCAATCTTAAAAAGAAAATGATGCACCTTTAAAGCCTATCTTTTAATCAAACAAAAAACCTTACTTAAAAACAAAAAATATACATTCGTCTAAGTTATATATTTTAAAAATACATTGGATAAATATATTTATTATTGTGAAATATATTCATTAGATTCATTATGAATATATTTTTTCAATAATGAATATATTTTTTTGCCTACTTTTTTAGAAAATAATGCATCATAATTTTATTTAGTAGATTATAATATCATAACAGATTTTTTTAAAATTATATTTGTAAGTTATTTTGCTTTAGAAAAATACCTAATAAAAATATTTTTCAGAATTTTAAAAATAAATAAGTCAAACAGGTTAATTTGTGAACCTTCAAGTTAACCCGTGTATAACTTGTGACCTATTCGGGTTGATTTGAACATGTCACAAGTCTAATAATAGTTGATCTTAACCTGTTTTTTACGAGTTGAGTTAAGGCCTCGTTGACAAGTCGAGTTAGATTTTGCCACTTCTATTTAAAAGTTATATTGAGTTTCAACGAATTTAAACTTGAGTTAGA